GAATATAACCGGAATTCAGAAAACTGCTCAGAAGACCTCCCCATCCATCCATTTAACCTTACTCCGGNACTTAGAAAATGACTACGACAAACCTCAGAATATAACCGGAATTCAGAAAACTGCTCAGAAGACCTCCCCATCCATCCATTTAACCTTACTCCGGCAAGACTTACTGCAGCAGAGCCACCATCTCCACTGCTGCTATGCCCTATTCCCATCCTACCAGCTAGCCCCCTCACTAGTAGGACGTGTGATATCCCACCATCTCCTTCCCCACTCCCCCTCGTTCTGTTTCAGCTCAAAAAGTTGAAGCTACTTTAAGAAATGACTTCAACAGACTTCAAAAATCAACAGGACTCAAAATCCGACTCGAACCCCCCCCCCCCATCAATCCTTTGTTCCTCACTCCGGCAAGACTTACTGAAGCAGAGTCACCATCTCTACCGCTGCTATACCCTATTCCAATCCTACCAGCTAGCCCCATCACTAGTAGGACGCATGGTATCCCACCATCTTCTTCTCCCACTCACCTTGTTTCCTTTTTAGGATCGACCGTCGGGGTCCTAAAAGAAAATCCAAAAATCTCGACCTCCTTACCAAACCTTTCCAAGGTTCCTCAAAGTTGTCTTACTCCCTGCCGAGCTCTTCCAGACCTCACACCCCCACTTCCTGCTGGGTTACAGGGCAACACAACTCGCCCCACCTCCGACCAGCGTCATCCCAGCAGCAAACCTTGGTTGTACCGTGAGATGCCCACCCCGAAGCATCCCCAGATCTCTCTACCAGGCCTCACGCTCCTGCGTCAACAGGTTACAGAGCAACACCCCAACACCGGTCAGCGTCGTTCTGGCATCGAATAGCCGCCGATCGCTGAGTATAGCAACGTCAAGGCAGCCTGGGAAAATTGATAGAAGCCCCAGATTCCTAAATGTTCTCGAGTCCCCCGTAACGGTCAAACAGAGTACAATCCAGAAAAAATGGGGGGTCAAAACTAGAAATTAATACCAACTATCCTAAACTCCCCTCTCAACAAGCGGACTGCCAGTCCCGGCTTTCAGTCCTCATACCAGAACTCACCTGGTCTCATACCCCCCTCTGCTAGGGTAACAGGGCACCACAACGCACCCCAGTACCNTGCCAGTCCCGGCTTTCAGTCCTCATACCAGAACTCACCTGGTCTCATACCCCCCTCTGCTAGGGTAACAGGGCACCACAACGCACCCCAGTACCGACCAACCTAGTTCTGACGGACAGGAAGTGCCTTCCTCCCTCGACAATTCCTTTAGCGGCAAACCCCTAAACAGGTTACAGGGTCCACGCCCCGGTGCCCACTACGTTGGACGATCTGGTTATGCCTTCCTCCCTCGGCATAACTCCATGGACAACTCCATGGACCTCAAGCTCCCCCTGGGTCATAGAGCACAGCTCCAGCACCAGTCTATGTCGTCCCAGCATCGTCCTCCTGACCTACTCACCTTAACCGACATCTCCCGTCTGTGGAAAATCCCCTTTCATTTTTTCCATCCACCCATTCTAGTAATGTCTGGATTTCAACACCAGCATAAAAAATGAAGAAATGGCGGAACCAACACACATTTCTTTTTGGTAGAACCCTCATTTTAAATAATGTGATCCTAGCATCCACGTGGTATAAATCTGCATTATGGTCCCTAGAAAAAAAACCAGCAAAAGACCTTAAAAGACAACTCCAGACCTTCTTGTGGAGAGGGGACCATAACACCCAGAATGTCATCCCTAGAGTTTCTTGGGATCTCTCATCCAGCCAAAAGCTAAAGGAGGTATCGGATTATTGAATCCGCTTCTCCAATGCCAAGCATTGAGACTTCAATGCATTAAAAGACTTATTTTGGTAGAACCCTCATCTTAAATAATGTGGTCCTTGCATCCACGTGGTATAAATCTGCATTATGGTCCCTAGAAAAAAAAGAAAAAAAAAAGACCTTAAAAGACAACTCCAGGCCTTCCTGTGGAGAGGGGACCAGGACACCGAAATGTCATCCCTAGAGATGCTTGCGATACTCTTATCCAACCGAAAGCTAAAGGAGGTTCGCTTCTTCAATGCCAAGCATTGAGACTTCAATGCATTAAAAGACTTATTTTGGGAATAGATCTTCCCTGGCAACCTTTGGCACTGGAGCAGCTCCGGAGACTAGCCCCTCCCACTTCTAAACATATTCATCCCCTCACTTGGGCGGAGGATCGTTACTGGATCATACCAAGACAAACTGCATATTCAGGAAGGGTTGGGGAAAAAGAAGCAGCCATGAAAGATTTAGTACTACACAACTTCTGGTCATACTTGCTGAAAACATGGCGCAAACTCCCCCTCCCTAACAAATTTCCACCTTATTGATACGAAGAGGTTCTCAGACAACCTATTTTTTTGGCAATAGGTGGATCTCAGATTCAAATGGTAGAGTTTATACTAGTTCTCAACCCCCTTTGTCAACCTGGGTTAAAGCAGGAATTCTTAGAATTATGGACTCGTGGGATTCAAGGAGCAAATGTTGAAAATCGTTGGACAATCTAGACCAAATAATATCATTTATCCCTTTAGCATGGATGTTGCTTCTCGAAACGGGTATGGACTCTAGAGAAGCAAACTGGGTAGGAGCTATTCAACCGGGGGGAGATACAGTTATTGGTCAAATTCTGGATACCCATCAAGGAGAGGCGATACTTAACCTATGCAGAGTATGTAAGGATCATTCAATCCCTCAAAACAACCAAAATGGAGTTGCTTTCTTCCCTGATTTTACAATGCATAGGATTAGGAGTTTTATTTTTTTCATCAACAAGAAGCTGGAAAGCCTTCCTCCCCGAATTGTCAATCGCTGAGTTACCACTAGATCCTTTGGAATGGGTGTGGAGAACTAATAAGAGAGGTAACCCTCAGAGATTGCACTCCCTCACAGTTAAAGCCTCATATCGCATCCTTCGTCCAAAAATAGACGTCAAATCTATTTTGAAGGATAGATGGGTCAGGCATCTTAACATCCACCTCGACCGTCTCGCACCGGCTAAAAGGTGTAAGGATCTCAAGGAGAGAGCGGCAACATTTGCTTCATTACAATGGCAAATAGTCCATAGGTGTTTACCGACTTATAATTGGCTAATTGATCATTCATCGCTTGAACAAAAAGGTTTAGCTCTACCATGATGCCCCAACCGTATTTCAGCGTTTCCAAGCAGAAAGATAAGAGAAACCACAGAGCACATATTTCAACAATGCCCAGTGGCCAAACTTCTGTGGAGAAGATGGGACCATATTTGGAATAAAATCACCGAATTGGATTGACTATGGGACTAGCGTGCACTTCTTTTGGGGCACTGGTCTCCAGTGATGGAAAATCTGTCAGAATTTCAAACCAATTTATTCCATATAGGTAAGAAAGCAGCACTTTGGGTTTTGTGGTTCAAAAGGTGTGTGCTGTCTTGGGAGGGGGTAATAATTGATGGCCAGGAAGTTACTGACATAGTTCAAAATCTTATTTAAACGAAAATCAAAGCACAGTGGTGCAAAACTAAAATCATACTCAAGTCACTGATTCAAAAACAAGACATTACCAAAATTCTGCACAAATTTCACAATAACTGGCTGGGGCATTCATCAGGATAGAATTTGGGGGAAATCATATGGCCTGGTAAGGAAGGAGATGCAGCGTTCAAGAGAGACTATGGCATCCTGTTTCACAGCTGCTTTGATATTCAACCAGGAGTTTCCTTGAGATCCCCGGATTTATTTCCTGATTTTTTCTCACCCTCGGATTTGGCTTTAGTTAATCTTCAATGGTTTAGGGTGAAATCTGCATGAGAAGGCCTGCAGGCGATTGTGCAGCTGATTGTTCTATTATTGTTCTATTATTGTTCTATTATTGTTCTATTATTGTTCTATTATTGTTCTATTATTGTTCTATTATTGTTCTATTATATGAGCAGTAAGAATGTGAGTAACGTGTATCTAGCTTGTTGTGTCATGATAGATCTGGCGGCTCATAAAATGCTGAAGAGGCAGTCATCTTGCTCACTGTAGTTTTGATCGGTTTTCTTGGATCCCGGGTCCCTTTGGGTCTCGTTAAAAGTGAAACTGGGTAAGGCTCCCTGGTAGTCACATCTCCGGGTAGACTGTGAGAGGACCCCGGCCTCGTTCTTATCATTTGGAATATCAGCCTTCGGCACTGGGCCCGTTTTCTTTAATAATAATTTTAAAAAAAACGTGAGACGATGTTTAGGAGGGGAAGAAAGGATGCCTTCTTGTGGTTCTTGTCTGTGAATAACCAGAGCTGCCAGGTCCACAGATTGAACCTTCACAGCTGACAGGTCCACAGATTGAACCTTCACAGCTGACAGGTCCACAGATTGAACCTGAGAGAAAAACGCGAGAAGGGCAAGCTGACAGTCAATCCTCCTGTAACATGGAGCAATCAATGCTGGTCAGGGATCCTTCGGCCAAATGGAAGGATGCATGAGTGTGTAAATCATGTATCTTACTATTTTGACTTGCCGGGGGAGTGGGAACTGGACTGATGCTCCTTAGAATGGATGGATATGGAGCCAGGGCCATAACGATCTGTTACGAGAAAAAGAAAAAAGAAAAAAAAAGAGATCTCTAAAGAAAAACGTTGGTTCTTGGAAGGGGACGGTTTTGGAGGAAGGGGGGGGCGGGGGAGGGGGTCAGCTCATAGCAGCCTCCCTGTTGAGCAGGTAACCCGTACTGCAAGGGTTGGGCTGCTCCTTTACTTTTCTTCTCTTGCTTTTTTCTTGTACTCATGCTTGTCGGTAATAAGTCACTCTTTATTACAGAGGCTTGTGTGTGTTGTTGGGGGAAAAAAAAAAAAAACGTTGGTTTCAGTGTGCTCTTCATGTCTGTCCTGTGTACTTTTATTTTCATTGTTTGCTTTTGCAAAGTGCACTCTTTTAGTTCCATAGATATGCAACAATATATAGCCCCGCAGTAGTGGGTGCACTGCACTTGTGCTGTTGCCGATAAATGTTGATTCTGGTGCCCATAGAATTGCATAAATGTATTTAAGTCCATCCGTGCACATTGCAGAGAAGCACACACTACACTCTGCTCATGCTGTGCCTCTATCCCAGTCGTCTGAAGTTCTGACGATGCACCTGTCTGTCATTATGGCTGCTTCTTTCGTGTGACTTTCATGCCAGATACAGATGTAATGACCCGGCAGACTGCTCAGGGGAAGACGACCAGTACGTGTCGCAGAGTCCGCACATTGCACCATCTTTCCAATCATGCAGCCATTCAGGGCCGAAGTCCATCCATCTGCACACACACGAGAGAGGGCATCACATATGCTGCCCATGCTGTGTGCCTCTATCCCAGAGTTAGCTCTGAACATGTCAGATCTGTGTCAATGATTGAATCCAAGAGGAGTGCTCATCCTGTCGTTCGATCAGCCAAAACCCAGCATTTGCACGAGGCAGTTGGTATGACGTCAGAAGCTGTCAGCTTGATGTAGCAGTTTCAGATTCCTCTTTCAAAGCGGCTACAGCTCCTAGCAGTATCCTACCCGTCTGTTTCCCTCCGGATTTCCATCCATCCGGATTAAAACTCAGTCTGTTCAGCAACAGTACATGTGTGTGTACCAATGCACCTTTCTGTGTCTCCTCCCCAACAGGCGGTTGCCATGACATCAGAAAGCTGTCACCTTGAACTAGCAGCTGTTGCTCATTCTCCGAGGAAGAGTACCATCCTGTATACTCTCTTAGAAAGGTCTCCTCCCCGTCGCACGGACACAATCTTTGTGTGTGCGGGGGGGGGGGAGGGGAGGAGAACAAACAGATATCCATGTGAGAAAGATCCCCCTGCAGAGAGTGCAGTAGTAGTAGCAGTAACAACAGCAGTGTGCAGACAAGCATCGGCTGTCAATGTAGAATTCTCCCTCTCTCTCTCTCTCTCTCTCTCTTGTTAGCCATGGAGGCAGAATTTGGTGCAGTTACCGATGGGCCCAGCTCAGTTGGTACGAGGATACGCGGATGAACTGTTGAAATGCAGACCTGAGCTTCAATCCATATGGAACAACATGAATAAAATCAGACATTTCTGAATCACCTGGGGGCCGGATAGTGAGCTAATAATCAAGGCCATTAGGTTATTGGCCTTTTGTTTATTTATTAACACTAAGCTATAATATTCTCTGAGTTCTCTCAATATACCTCCCTCTACCTACCTAATTGGGAATGATACACATCTTGATCTACCCTCCAGTGGCAAGCTACACTAAGGGTTATGGGTTGAGCCTATCCCGTCATGGTTGAGCCTATCCCCTCAGGGTAGAACCTATCCCCTCTGGGGGTTGAACCTAACCCCTGGCCATGGGTGGCATTCCCCACCAGAAAAAAAAGAATTTACTGCAGTAGGTACTACGGAAATACAGGAATGCAAACATCAACTGTGAATGCGGAATTCTCTATTTCCCCTTGCCCACGAAGGCATAATTTTTATTTTTGTCCTACGGCATGAATGGCGAAGTAGCTCTCTCTCCTTCAAAAGGTTATGCATGCAGAATTTCCACTCCTCTCCTCGCCTGTGAAGACAGAATTCTGTGCGTCTCCTGCTAAAAATGCTGCAACCCCCACCGGGCCTAGCTCAGTTGGTATATAGTATATACCACATAGTATATACACATGAATTGTTGGAATACAGACCCGAGTTCAAGACCCGATGAACTAGATGAATGAAATCAAATAATTTTGCTAAAATCCTGCAGTGCCTCCGGCTAAAAATGCTGCAGACCCCAACGGGCCTAGCTTCGTTGGTATATACTCATGAATAATGAATTGCTGAAATACAGACCCGGGTTCGAATCCAAATGAACCAGATGAATGAAATCACATAACTCTGAATTACTGAGGGGGCGATCAGTTCCTCAATTATATCTCAAGGCCATTGCCCTTTTTTTTTGTTTTTTGTTTTTCAATGCTGGAGACTCTATGGAGGTGACTCTAAGGAGTCAAAACCGTAGCTCATGAGGAGTAGGCTTCCAGGTTGATACGTCGAACAAAAGATGGATGGAGTTGGTCTCTATTTACAATGTGAAGGTGGTTTCGATTCGTAGGCCCCCAACATATCACTGTTGTGGGCCCAGCTGGATCACATTACCGTACATTGAAACCACCTTCGTCGTTGAATAACAGTGAAAATTCCGTTCCCTGGAGAAAGAGCAGCACACCACAATTTGAAGTGAGACAGTGAGAGAATGAATGCCATCAACCAGCCAGCTACAACGACTGGGCGAAGATTTTGTATTTGCCAGTCGAATGGGTACTTGCCGGGAAGGGGGGGGATTAGTAAACACTGGCAGTCAGGTTCATGCTCCATTCCCCACAAGATGGCCGGTCTGGAAGTCTGACCAAAACTCTGTGTGCAGTGCCTCTCTCTCTCTCTCTCTCTCTCTCTCTCTCTCTCTCTCTCTCTCTCTCTCTCTCTCTCTCTCTCTCTCTCTCTCTCNCACACACACACACACACACACACACACACACACACACACACACACACACACACACACACACACACATATACACACACACACATTAGAAAGTGGTCATTTTTAGTGCAGTCAAAATCCGTCATCACCAGATGGATCACCACCCTCTCTTCCTCCCATTCCTGCTACCAAAACTCTCTAAGCTCTAGCATCTACACACACACACACACACACACACACACACACACACACACACACACACACACACACACATATATACACACACACATTAGAAAGTGGTCATTTTTAGTGCAATCAAAATCCGTCACCACCAGATGGATCACCACCCTCTCTTCCTCCCATTCCTGCTACCAAAACTCTCTAAGCTCTAGCATCTGCACACACTCACCACCACCATCATCATGACCACTGTGTTGATTCCTTGCTATTACCACTGCCATTAGCATGCCAATTGCCCAGTTCTGCTGGGAAACGGATAGCAAAAATTGGGAACCAAGATAGGAAAAATAAAAAATGGATAGCAAAAGCAATCCCTTCTAGTTCACAATGAAAGGGGAATAAATTGAGAAGGAAAAACTGAAAGCAGCGGGTTTAAGAAACCCTTGTACTGTTGCTGTCCTGACCTGATCATGAAAGACCACACTACAATGTACAATACAACATGCCGTACTCAGTGGCATATAGTAAAACTGAAGTACTACTACACTTTAGTCTAATATAAAATATTGTTCTATAGCCTATAGGCTTATTGTACGGACGTCGGACACATATCTTTCGTTCCGGACAGCCGGACATACATTCATCTTACCTGATTTGTCCCATCGCCTCCAAGTCCCTTCCTGATGAACTGCTCCACGTTATGTGCCTCTGGTGTTCTTCTCTTGACTTAGCAGCTCACATGTCATTGCTGCACGTTATGCGCCTCTGGTGTCCTTCTCTGGACTTAGCACACATGTCATTTGAATCCACTATCTGATTGCAACTTCCCTCCGTTTCTCTCTTTTATCTAAGTGCAGCCTCCCTCTGTGCGGTACGTGCAACTTCCCTCTGTGCGGTACGTGGAACTTCCCTCTGTGCAGTAGATGCAACTTCCCTCTGTGCAGTAGATGCAACTTCCCTCTGTGCCTGAGGATGACCCTTGGCCGTTTCCAATGGCATGGCTCAGTAGAGTCAGTACGTATCCATATCTGGGCACATGAGCAGATCCACAATTCCACCCGTGTCCCTTGGAATGGTGGAATTTCATCTCTGTCCCTCCATGTGCACCTGCCTTGCGCCTGCTCATCTTGCCGGTCAACACCATCAGTGGCATTCTTGGAATTGCTAATTGCTGAGTCACATGTAAACAGTTCCCAAATTTCACTGGGGTGCCTCAAAAAAATGTCTGCTGTGCCCCTGCCATCGCAACTGCACTGTGCTTGCACAGCTTGCTGTCATCTTCCAGCGAATAGAATGTACGGTCGTTATCGTTGTATCTAGAGTCTAGACTGAAAGTAGCCCCACATACATACAGCTATAACGACCGCGCGTTCTGCTCGGGGGAGAAGACGGAAGGCAACAGGGATCAGCGACATTCTAGGAACTTTCTTTTTAAAATAAAAGGGTGACATCCTTGAGATATCATCATCGAACCGACCAGAATTTGAGTATTTCTCTCATCTGTTTCCAGTGCAGTTCGAACTCCGGTCTGTATTCCAACAGTTCAGGGGTGTGCCAACTGAACTACCTTCTTCCCCCGAACACAACGCACAGTCACCATAGCTGTATCTACACCGAAAGATCCCTCAAATACAGCTATAATGACTGTACGTTGTATTCGGGGGACGAAGGTAGGCCACTTGGTGTGACATTCTCTAGTAACTATTAATTGCGCGGCCATAAAATTTGAAAACCTGAAGTTGGAACGGTACAAATCAGGATTCAAAAATCCGTCCGAAGTTGGAACGGTACAAATTGGAATCTGTAACTGTCCTCTAATTGGATGGGAGAAGATAAGGTCGGAATGATGACGGTGATGGCGTCTGATGGAGTCTGATCAGAGTGGATCGAACTGACTGAGCTCTCACCTGCAGCAAAGTTACGTCGGCCAAGCGGTCGACCCTTTGCAAGGGATGGATCGAGGCTGAAGGTGTGACACCCAAGCAGTCAACGCTTGGTCATTAATAACACCTGGAAAGGACAAAGGTGTGACAGCGGAAGCATGTCACACCGTGAAAGGGACACCGGTCATCCAAGGGGGTGGTGACCACCTTGAAAGGACATCAACAGCTGAGGGTGTGACAGCCAAGCAGCCAATTCCTGGTCGTCAACACCTGGATGGACAAAGGTGTGACAGCCATGCAGCAGCAGCCTAAGCATGTCACATGTCGAAAGGACTTTCTTTTTTTATCATCCAACAAGGCAGTCACCTAAGCAACAGCCATGAGGGTGTGACAGCCATGCACCACAGCCTAAGCGTGACAACCAAGCGGTCACCTCCTTGACAGGACATCAACAACTGAATGTGTGATAGCTCCTCCAAATAGCCGTAAACAGCCTTACAGTATCTTAGGAAAGTCGGGAACCATCGTTCCTCAGGCAACGATGGGTGGGGTGAGAGAGAGAGTATCATTTGTCAGGTAAACGGGGAGTGCAGGCCCTCAAGGGCATAAACATAACACAATCAAGGTCAGGGACTGATGAGAAAGAATGGCGGACATGAAGGCAGGATGACTTTCGAGTGCTTGCAGGAAGAGAACGCGGCGCACAATAAGCATCTCAAGAAGAGCAAGAGTGTGGCCGAAAGAGGGTAAACGAGGAAGGGAGAGCGGCGAGGAAAGGTCAAGAACCGATGGGAGATAGGTTGAACATGGGATGATTAACAAATGCAATAAGCACTACTAAAATTGTCAAATTACCAAATAGTGAACTCACAAAAGAGAAAAGAAAAAGAAAAAGAAGAAGAAGATGAAGAAGAAGAAGCTTGAAGGTGACAAGTGTAGATTGCTCTTGTTGGGTAAGCACAGGTGAAGATGAATATCAGACGGGGGAGATATCCTTGAAGCATCCTGTTGGGTTGCAAGGTCCCTAGACAGGAGTCAAAGGGACGTTTGATCTGTCTTTCTTCAAAATGTCTGAAGGGGTGATCGCCCGAAGGTCGACACCGGCCTCGTATGCTGTGCCTCCATGCTTGGTGAGGTCGAGACCCCGCTGCTCTTCCTCGGGAGGTACACGAAGAACACCAAAAATCTTTAGCACTCCGAAGAATAAACTCATCGTCCCAGAGACCCAGGCGATGATACAAATGGCATATAGGAGCTGCACGCCCAGCATCTTTCCACCTCCACCATGGAACAACCCATAGTGTGTCGCGTTGCTTACAATAGAGTCCATGACGTACGATCGTTTGGCAAAGAGCCCCACCGCCGCCACCCCCCACAAACCACACCCTCCGTGTAATGGAGCAGCATCCACAGGGTCATCTACCTTGATTAACAGAAGGAGTGCGCTACCGGCCAAGTATACTACCCCACCGATAACACCAATGACGATGGCTGCCCATGGTTCGACCACACTGCATCCCGCTGTGATTGACACCAACCCGCCGAGAGCACCATTGCAAACGGCCATAGCATCCCAGGTCCCTGAAGTTAACTTCTTGAGGAACAAGCTGCTCAGGCCTGCCGATGCGGCTGCAAGGGTGGTAGTTACAGCAACTCGTCCGACAACTCCCGCACTCCCGACAATTGCGAGCATGGAGCCTGGGTTGAACCCATACCAGCCAAACCAGAGCAAGAATGTTCCCAGAACTACCAATGTTGCAGAGTGACCTCTCATCTCTGTTGCAGCTCCTCGTCGGTCAAACCGTCCAATTCGTGGCCCGACAATGACCGCCCCCCAGAATCCAGCTACTCCACCCACCATATGAACAACACCAGAGCCGGCGAAGTCAATGGCCCCAACACCACGGAAAGGGGAAGCTTTCAACGCAGAAAGCCACCCCTGACTATTCCAGACCCAGTGCACGACAACTGGGTAGACGAGACCAGTAAGGAAGAAGGAATAACCCAGGTAAGAGACGAAAGACGTTCGCTCTGCCACTGACCCGCTGACAATGGTTGCAGAAGCCGCTGAAAAGGCACCGAACAGACCAGATGAGGACACACACAAAACATGTGTGAGAAGGGATTGCCAAGATAGCCAAGAAAAAAATAGCCTTAACATACAGCCACAAAGTGGTCTTTCCTGGAAAATGGGGTTGAGCGCTGAAATTCACAAAGTCGATCTATGGATAATGGGAACACATTTGGGCTGAAGGATGACAGCCTGCCAACAGACAAACCTTGACGTGGACACGATCTCCAGGTGTGGGACGCTAGAGGCTCTTGTGTCCACGAGGTTGTTCTGGTGATTGCACACTTGTTTCTCAAGCAAGCTTTGCATAGCGTATACATAGATCAGTCGATGGCGTAGCTCAATAGGTTCAGTGTAGCGCACGATGAGAATGAGGTCCGGAGTTCAATACCAAATCATGACTAGCTGGGGCGCAGGTTGGATATAAGTCTGAGAAGTGATCATTAGCCTAGGGTCCCCTGAGCACAGTCGAGGACAGAGGTTAGATGGAACGGTTGGGGGGCCTAGTACACACCGATGTCCAAGAGACTGATGTKGGGGGGGAGGAGGGGGGGGATTGCTTGTGAGCCCCAAGACGAGTGGGATAACCTGTGCCCCCGATTCAGTTCTGATCAGGTGGGGAGATCATAATAGTGGTATAAAGAATAGCTGGGATGCGGGTTGGATATAAGTCAGATGGAAAGATCGTAGCCTTAGGGTCTCAGGCGCATGGTCAAGGATAGAGGTAACAGGAACAGTAGGGTGGCCTAGTACGTACCGATGTCTGAGACCAATACTAATAGGGGGGAGGGGTCGCGGGTGAGCCCAAGACAGACGAGTGGGATAAACTGCTTCCCGGGATAATAAAATCGATCAACATTACAACCAACCAACAACGATCATAATGACAATGGCACAACCATAGTGTACACACGACATAACAACTTAGGGTAGGGACAGAATAGGTCCGTCTATGGGACTTGTAGAGAAGGCCTACACCTAGTGTCCAAAGTACCCATGCGACAAGGCTCGTCTGACAATGCCTCGATCAGGGCTGAGTAGGGTAAGTGGGACTCTGCTTAGCCCTGGTACCTGGAACCGCTGTCTGGTCAGGTCACCCCCGTTGAGAGAACTGGAGGGTGACGATCCTGAGTGGTAGACATTGAGGTAGGATTGTGGAAGTGGGGGTGTGCTGGGAAGAAATCACGAGTGTGGTAGGTCGGGAGGGAGTCTCATAGGAATATGGGCCTCTATAGACCATCGGGATAGCCACATGGCCGATTGCCAAAGGCGACTGTCATATCTCCAGAATCTGACCTCTACAACAACCTGGGCTTAAAAAAAAAAAAAAAAAAGAAAGAAAAAAAAAAAAGAAGAAAACCAACAACAACAAACAACAAAAGGGGCTGTCCAAGCTTTTCCTTGCTGTTGATTCTTGAATATAATATGGGGTCTAAACTTCACAACATACCGCCACGTAGTCCGCTTGATGTTGTTCTTTTTCCTTTGCTTCACCTTTTTGTTCTTCCCTTTTTAAATCCTTGACGGGGAAGTCCCTCGGGACATCCATTCAAATTGGAACGATACAGAGAAGATTCTGCGCAAGGATGACACGCATAAATCAAGAAATGGTCCAAAAAAAAATAAAAAATAAAAATCCTTGACGGGGAAGTCCAACAGCAGGCTAGTGATAAGATCTATTGGTGGGGAGCTGCACCTGCCTGTGTCCCATTTAACACAGAGCCTTTTGAAAGTATTTCCTATGTTCAGGCTGCAGAACACCTGTCTTGCAGCAAATCAACAAGCACATTCAACTAGCAGACGTGCAGAGTTGCAAACAGTGCAAAGCAGGCACAAGACTAAACAAACAGAGAAAAAAAACTTGAAAAAAGTATGACTAACTTTGAAGTTTGAACTTTGAATTTAAGTAATTTAAGTTCATAACTTCATATAACTTAAAAGTTCACACTTTGAACGTCAGAGTCTTTAGACTGGCTAGACTGGCAGCACTGCCAGTGCTCTCTCTCTCTCTCTCTCTCTCTCTCTCTCTCTCTCTCTCTCTCTCTCTCTCTCTCTCTCTCTCTCTCTCTCTCCCCAACAAGCAGCAGTGGCTGGCTGCCCTTCAAAACATCCGCTTTGAAATTGAGCAGGCCTGTGTGAAACCCGCGCCAAAAACCTGCAGTGTCTTGTGTCCGGGCCACTACGCCCTGCCCGGTGGGGTGAAAGGACACTAAAAAATCACCCCGTTATTTTCCAAGGGGCGGCTAGGACCCGAAAAATGTCCTGGGCCGCCCCTTTTTTTTCATTTTTGCCCTGGGGCCGTCCATCCAGACATCACGGATCGGACACCGGACGTGGGCATGTTGTTCCGGACTGTCTGGAACCCGGTCTGGATGGCCGGTCGGTTACCATGCCAGAGAGTGTTTCCATCTCGATGGTTTTGTGTTCGAGGTTGGTGTGTTGATTTGCGGGCATGCATGTGACGCACGGGGTAACGTGCATGAACTGGTTTCTGAGCCCCTTCCTTTTTTGTTGGGTGCTTTCTTGGTGACCCAGCTTGATCTAATCCAGTTCCAGTTCCTCTACCCGGTCCAGATTGCATTTCCGGCGGATGGTGATGTCGGGTTCAGGTCCTCTTGGTTCTGGTTCTCCGAGCCCTTTGATGTTCGCAGAGCTTGTCCTTGATGGGCCTCAACGCATGGGACATGTCGGCCAACTCCGACCTGTTGTTTTTGCATTTTTGGAAATTGTCTTTGTATTTTGCTGAGCTTTTTACGTAAGATTTACGCGTGCCTTAGCGAGCGCGCTCGGAATTCTTTTTCCTTCGGGTTTTCCGAATACCAGAAATCACGGGTGCCTATTGGGACACTTTGCAACGACTCATTTCTTTGTGCATGTACATTTTGGAGATGTCCCTGCAAGCCCGTGAAATTTTTATTGATGGATGATAGAATAAGCATCGGCATAGGAACTCATTCGCCTTAGACCCTGCGCGGGGAAATTTCTTTCGAACTGTTCAATTTCAATTCGGGTTTAGGAATTATGTGCAACTTCACTGGCATTTCACATAACTGTTTTGGTGTCTTTTTAATTTTGCGCACATGCATCTTTCTGTGCCGCACCTTGCATTGAATCTTTCCTCGCTTCCCCAGCCCCTTTCTTCGCACCATCATCAGCAAACTATGATTGTCTTTTTCTCATCCCTTCGCGCTTTTTCTCTCTTTTTGTGTCTGCTGAATCTTGGGCTAGCGTTGGGGAGCTAGATGTGCAGATCCATTTAGCCGCTGTGGAAGCACCCGTTAACTGCGGGATATGTGGCCCGTATAGGTGGACGGGAGGGAGTACCAGTGGTAAGGGTTTGTGCTGATTGGCGAGAGCGAGGTGTGCGAGAATTCGTCGTGTCTGTGTGGTGTTGTGTGTGGTGTGTGTTGAGTTGGACACTACAGCCTTGCAGGGGTGGGGTGGATATCACGACCGGTATGGTTCCACTTTTGAACACCGTGTCCTGGCTGTAGTGGTTAAGATACCTGGCTCTTGAGGCCGAGGTAATCCGTACTTGCACGGTGGAGGACGTCGGGCTCATGCTGGGATGGGTAGCGCCGTCCTGTAACTTCAGCGTTGGGGAGCTAGATGTGCAGATCCATTTAGCTGCTTGCTCCATATTGCTTCGCATAACCTCCTTTCCCGCCTTCATCTACACGCAGGAAGGCCCTACTGATCCCTCGAGTAACTGTAGAAGTCGGACGGTAGTGTGTAAGGAGGCTCTGAACCCTTCACACTGCGATCCGATTTGGTACAGAGTACTTCACACGGATCAACATGGCTTTCCCGCGGGGCTCTCCCCTTCTCATCTCTCCCCTCTTCCACCCCTCATCATCATTCTCTCTCCCTCGTTTTCACAACTATAAAACTCGCAAGCACATCGTTTTTGCTCTCTCACAATACATCGGTCAACTATGTTGCAGTAGTGGGTAGCTGAGGTGGTGATCAGCGAGTAGCGAAGTCCTGAGGAGTCGTCTGCAACTTTGTAGGATTGCACGCTGGATCGCTGCGATGCACTGCAGGATCCTGGCGAATCCGCGTAGTAGTTGAGTGGATGGGTTGACGATTGTTGGGGTTTAGCGCTGGATACGTGGCAACCAAGATCGCTAGTGCTCGAGCAAGGTGAGGTGTGCTTGGTGGTTGGTAGAATTTACGCTTATCCTCTACTTCTTTTTCTATTTGGAGTAAAGTTGCATGGCGAAATGCCAGTTTCCCTTATTAATCGAGCCAGTGTATATTCTTTTCTCCTTTCTTCCTCTTTCTTGCTCTCTTTCTGTGGATGTACGAGTGAATGAATGGTGGTTGTGCGTGCATGATTTGCGATGGTTGCATGCGTGTGAGTGTGTCCTTGAGTCTCGCCTTTCATTTCACCCTCCCCCGTTTTTATGATCTCGCTGGGCGAGGATCTTCAAAACGCGAGAGCCAACGAAATTCATTTATTGAGACGAATGTTTTATGGATGCCAGTGTATGATCTTTCCCCCTTAGATCTTGACAGGGTTGATGTGTTGGTGAGGGATGAATGGATGGATCCGGCTCTCTTTTGTTGGATGGATGCGGCTCTCTTTTGTTTTCTTCCCGGGTAGGAACTTTCCTGGAGACATCCTCTGCGCTCTAAATCAATGAAGTCGGTCCACCTCTCGGTACAATCTTTCACTTGCAAGAAGAGTGTAACGACGAGATCGGTCGTGTCTCCGCTGATTACGAACGCGAAGCACCCCATTAGGCATCTGCCTCCTTTCTATCTTCATTTCGAATGAATGCCCCCCTTTTGTGTGATTAGAAGTATGATCTGTCTGTGGACATGATCGAAGGGTTTTTGAATAGGCAACCCCTCGACCTGCACAACTCATGAAGATCTTTTATCTTCTTGTCGCTTGAAAAGGAAATGTCCATCCTATGCAATGATCCGAGTATTTTTGTTGTCAGCACTCATAACCTGTCTTCGTTTTCTCTCTTTTTGAACAACCCGTGATTGCCTGTTCAGAAACTTCTTCCTGAACTCATCCATCAGCTTCCTGGGTAATTCCCCTTCAGGCAGGGCATCATCCCTGAAACTCGCGCCACATTTCACAATTTCCTCTACATAGGCAATTCCGAAGTTAATGGATGTTGATCGCCTTGTTTTGTGACCGGTGGATGGAGGTTGATCGCCTGGTTTTGTGACCCGTGGATGCATGTGTATTGGCCATGTGTCCTGAGCCAGCGGAGCCAACGAGGCGCCGCCTTCTCGAACATCCCCGCCAACCACCTTTCCTGTACAACGAGGAAAGGACACGTATCTGCGAGTGGGATGTACGAGAAGCAATAGCCAAATCGGTGGCCCTTATCATTTTCCCTCTTTCTTTCTTTTTTTTTTTTTTTTTTTTTAATACCGGGGCCATTACCCGGCTTCTGCTAAGAATAGGATCATGAACAATTTCTAGCCTATTAGACAAAAGACCTCATGAGATAGGCTGAAGTTCAGAAAAAGTCTGAAGAAGCTTCAAAAAATATGAGAGCGGAGGTTAAAAGCTGAACCCACCTACTATCCAAAACTCCCCCCCTCAACAGACGAAACGTCGGTCCAGGCTTTCAGTCCTCATACCAGGACTCACTTGATCTCATACCCCCTTCTGCTAGGGTGGCAGGGCACCACAACCTTCCCCAGTACTGACCAACCTAGTTCTGACGGACAGGAAGGGCCTTCCTCCCTCGACATCTCCCTTAGCGGCAAGCCCCTGAAACACAGTGTTCTGTTTTTTTTTTTTTTTGGACACCCGTGCTACATAGCAGTGCTGGTAGGAGCAGGCCCTGCTAGCACCAGGGGGGAGGCTCCATCTATTGGTGGGGAGCATCACCTGCTGGAAAGCGGGTCCAGCGTCCCATATACAGGACGATACAGACAAATGTGGAGAAAGTAATCGGGAGGTGCCTGCCAGCATTGATTCCTCTGGGCTTCAGAGGATTGACTGAGCAGGGTTAGTGCAAGAGGGATCTCTCTGCTGATACAAGCTGGAACCCCCTCCTGTCACTCCACTCCACCTCCCAGCCCCAAGCATGCGAAATCAGAACCCCTTGGCCGGTAGCAAACCCTGCTGGAAAGCGGGTCCAGCTTCCCTGTCCCAACAGCAAATTATATACAAGTTGTGGAGGGTAGCACAAGCCAAATGTAAGCCGGGCATGGTCAGCATCCTCAGTCGGCAACCCCAGTCTGCAGCAGTCCTGACCCCACCTTCATCCTTTCCCAGCCCACCGGTTGGCTGCTGCAGTTCTGCACCCTCCAGCATGTGACGCTGCTTATGCTGCTCCATACCACTGCGAATCCACCATGGAGAGATTATGGGGATGGGGTGGAAAGAGATCGGGGAACTCCGAGGGAGGGCGCCGCGCGACTGTTGGATCCACCTTAGTCCACTGCTTGAAGCAGCTGGTATAGTCCCTCCTAAACTCGTCGTGAAGCCAATTTTGCAGGTTAAGATCTTGTAGCAATTCGGGTTTCGTGGTTGTTGATACTCATTTCCCTCCCTACTCGGTTTTGCTTCCTTTCAACGAGTTGATTGTCATCACGTGGCTGACGGTTGCTCCTGCCATCGCACGCTGTGCAGGGATTGTCACCACACGGAGAGCTTTTAAGCCCAAGGGTTCAACTATTGGACACATGGTGAACAAGACTTCAAGGAGAAGGCAGGGAGACTGAGACCCTCCTACTGTGATTCTGAGCTCTGTGAAGAACGCCATCAGTCCCACGTTCCAAACGTGCGCTCCTCTTCCTCTTCGACCAGGGAAAAGGAAACAAGCTGCGCGCGATCAGCACCCCTACCACTGGCTCGGGCAGTTGTAAAAAAAAAAGAAAAAAAAGAAGATATTTTTTGGATTAGATAGTCGTTGGGGAAGGACTCTTTTCTGTTTTTCCCGCCTTTGTTTGTTGCTCGATATCTGGGACCACACGTGAGCTTTCAGTTCTGTCTGTCTCCAGAGTCCAAACTCATTTTTCCAAAAATCCTTGGCACACCCTATTTTGCCGCTTTCCAGACCCCTTTCCCCGCTTTAGTCACTCCGACGGGAAAGCTGTGCAAGGGGTGAGGTTGCTATCGGGAGTGCAACATGTATGTGTGCTGAATCAGATGTGAATTGAACAGCATCATTGCACAACCATCTTCACCTGAATAGAACACCCGGTCATTATAGCTATAATTCGGGCAACTTCCAGACCAGATGCATTGATAATGACCGGGCATTTTATGCAGGTGAAGACAGCAGTACCGAGCGATCTCTCGCTACCTTCTTTGGTTGGAGGGAAGGTAGTGACGGCGCTGGAAGAAAGTCGGCTGGTGGGGAGTGAACGACAACTTGGGGAGGTACCTGTGAGGGAGGGAGAAGGTGATGGCTGAGGCAGAAGTGGCCAGAGAGTGGAAGGAGCACGAGCAGCCAAGAAGAAGAAGACCTACCAAAGCTTTGTTGAGAGGAATTGAGCTAGAGTGAAGTGCTTCCCTAACGCTGGTCTTGGTTGTTCTCGCATATTGATTTGTTATTGGATCTATGCCTGTTGTTTCGTTGGATGCAAGCTGCTAGTGAAGTGCTTTCCTAACCCTAGTCTTCATGCTCTCGCATATTGATTTGTCATTGGATTTCTGCCGGTTGTTTCATTGGATGCAAGTTACTCTGTCAATTTTTGTAGACGTCAATTAGGCCTAAGGTAGGAAAATCGGTGCATAAACCTTATAACTTCTGGTGGAAAGGCTCCCCCCGGTTGTCCGGGTGTGGGCGGTGTTTCCTGCCTAACTGGGGACCTGTAGACACAGAGTGGACTCTATCCCAACAAGATTGACCCTTCCAGAGTAAAAACTCCTTCCTGGAGGACAGAGGTTGTCGGCCTACTCTGGGACCTGCGTACCCAGGGTGGACCCCGTCTCAGTAAGGCAAATCACGGGGTTAGCACGTATTAAGGGTCTAGTGTGGACAGAGTTCAGACACTACTTGGCCACCTCATCCTGTCCATGATGTTAAAGAATTCCTGAGGGCTTCCTTAAACTGTCGGTTGGCCAGTGTAGTTGTCAAAGCTTATCCGTGTGAAGGGCTCGTTGAACAAGGCAATTGGGGAAGTACGTGTCACTAGGAAGTTTGAATTGTGAGTTAGCATCTGTGTGGTAGGAGGGAAGTGGAACGAACGTCATTGACTGGACCGGTAGTTGTACTCACCTGAGACCATGGATGATTATCCCGTTTTCGCCTTCACCTTCACTTTCACTTTCACTTTCTCTGTTTTGTGGCATCCGCTTTCGCGGATGATATTCCCCACTCGGCTTCTTTAGAATCTGTCGCACCCATACTATGGAACAACGGAATGGGACAGAAGTTCAAGAGCCAGGGGTAGAATTTTGAAGAGCACAAGAAGAAAGAAAAGGAGATTTTGCCTCAAGCTCTTTTTCTTCTTCCTCTTGAGTGGGAAAGAGAGAGGGCGAAGACTTCACCTTGGTACTTTGGGAGTCAGGCTCCCTGACTCAAGGTCTGAGTACAGGAGGTTGGAGAGAGTGAAGTGGAGGAGAGACTGTTATTATTTGTTGCTGCCTCACTGTTCTTCTTCTTCTTCTTCTTCTTCTTCTTCTTCCTTCTTCTTTTTCTTCTTCTTCCTTCTTCTTCTTCTTCTTCTTCTTCTTCTTCTTCTTCTTCTTCTTTCTTTCTTTCTTTCTTCTTCTTCTTCCTTCTTCTTCTTCTTCTTCTTTCTTCTTCTTCTTCTTCTTCTTCTTCTTCTTCTTCTTCTTTCTTCTTCTTCTTCTTCTTCTTACTTCTTCTTCTTCTTCTTCTTCTTCTTCTTCTTCTTCTTCTTCTTCTTCTTCTTCTTCTTCTTGTGATCCTCCTCCCCCTCCTCCCATTCCTCCATCTTCCACCTGATATTTTTTATCTGTGTATGGTCATAGCAGGGACCTGAGTCACTTTGTCATTTATGGTGCATTTTCAGATGAAGTCCTATCTGATTTGAGTCTTCCACTTTGCCGCAGTGCATAGTTTTGTCAGGTTGGTGATCGCCTGAACCTGCCTTGCCACCAGACAATTCTGGACATGCAACACCCTCATTTGAATAATAGCTTATGAAGCCGTTGAGCCAGGCAGGTGATGATTTGAGCGGTACGTTGTGAGGAGAGCGAATGTGGGCAGGGGGGCGAAGGTGGGCAGGGGGGCGAAGGGAGTG